GCAAGACGTCTAAAGGACGTTTCCTATCAGATGTCAAATAGACGTCTGTTAGATGTCTCTAAGATGTTTATGATTTAGAATGAATGTAAAACAGACGTCTGTCAGATGTTTGTACACAGCAGACGCTTTCCAGATGAAGAGATCTTTAACAGACATCTTGCAGACGTAGGTGTGCTATCTAACTGAGAACGCAGCGCGCATGCGCAGTAAACAGATCTCCGGCACGTTTCCGTCCGCATACTTGCGTAAAGTTTGATTCTGGTCTTTATCTGGCGTTTGTCTTGTGACTCACCTGTGAACGGTGTCGTCTCATTTATCAGGAAGCTTTGCTCGCAGCTCGTACCGTTTGTTTTGTGATAAACGGATGAACACGAGTGCTTATATAAAATACAAGATTTTATACGGAATGAAAGAGCGTTAATCATGAGGTGGCATATACTCACACAACACCTGGATATTGATTATGTGCGCATGACTGAGCCGCTGTCATCAGCTTCATCTGCTGTCTGAAGAAGATGATGATGATGATGATTGTCAAACACGCTCAGGGCTCCACAAACACACGCGATCCTTCAGGAAACAACAGAGAACGTCAGAATCTGCACTGCATTTTATGATTTTTTAAAAGTGTAACTTATTCAGTGTGTTCTGCTTTAATATATTGAAGATTTTTTTTATTTCGTTATGTTTTTGGGTGAAGTTAACATTTCTTCTCATCATCATGTGTAATCTTGTATACGACGCTGAGATCGTCATATTGTAACACAAAGATCATTCTGTCATGTTTGTCACTATTATTGACGCACTGTATGGATTTTTGTTCCGCTAATCAAACCAGTTTAACTTCCCTGTGATCTGATTTAATATGTGCTTCAGTGTGAACACTCTCCTCCAATCACGTCCACTCTCACTCTCTCTCTCTCTGTGTGTGTGTGTGTGTGTGTGTGTGTGTGTGTGTGTGTGTGTGTGAGTGTGTGTGTATGTGTATGAGTGGTAGTTTCTCATACTGGTTCACAGATGGAATGATTTCTCCAATAACTGCAGTCAGACGAAGGACATATCGGTGAGAAAAGAATTAAAGTGTTTGAAAAGAAGAGAATCTCCTGAATTCTCTCCTGCACTGCTAAGAAGGAGCGTACATTAAATGAGTTTATACTATCTTTTTTGTTTTGTGTATATGAATGGCTATATGTTAACCTTGAAGAAAAATAACAAATTCTATGGCAAAAACTATAATAAATTAATTTGAAAACGACTTTGCGGATGTATTTCCATTTACATGTTTCACTGTGGCAAATCACTCTGTGTGTGTGTGTGTGTGTGTGAGTGTGTGTGTATGTGTATGAGTGGTAGTTTCTCATACTGGTTCACAGATGGAATGATTTCTCCAATAACTGCAGTCAGACGAAGGACATATCGGTGAGAAAAGAATTAAAGTGTTTGAAAAGAAGAGAATCTCCTGAATTCTCTCCTGCACTGCTAAGAAGGAGCGTACATTAAATGAGTTTATACTATCTTTTTTGTTTTGTGTATATGAATGGCTATATGTTAACCTTGAAGAAAAATAACAAATTCTATGGCAAAAACTATAATAAATTAATTTGAAAACGACTTTGCGGATGTATTTCCATTTACATGTTTCACTGTGGCAAATCACTCTGTGTTTCAGGTTAATAGTTTCATACTCTATGGTAAATATGGATCTCTGAGGAGAAAAATTGTGTTCATAGAACACGAGTGAAGAACACTTCAAACCCTTCAGAAGTTCACTAGTGAACTGAGTGTACACTAGAGGGCAGCATGTGCTCACACACACACTCTCACTCGCACACACACACACACACACACACTCTCACTCGCACACACACACACACTCTCTCTCACACACACACACACACACTCTCACTCGCACACACACACTCTCGCACACACACACACTCTCACTCGCACACACACACTCTCTCACTCGCACACACACACACACTCT